ATGGATATGACATGACATCCCCAGTGCTGCTTGCCCATTTCCTTATCAACAAATTAATAAATTGCCTTGTTGTGAGATGTTACATAGTGATTCGTGTCATTATAAAAATACACCATGAAATCAACATAAAGAGTTTTAAATGCAAAGTAAAGCATGGGCATGACATGCCATCCCCAGCGCTGCTTGTCCATCCTTTATCAACAATTAATAAATTGCCTTATTGTGAGATGTTACGTAGTGATTCATGTCATTATGAAAATACACCATGAGATCAACATAAAGAGTTTTAAATCCAAAGTAAAGCATGGGCATGACATGCCATCCCCAGCGCTGCTTGCCCATCCCTTATCAAACTAAATAAATTACCTCACTGACCGTGGCGAGTAACTTTATGCCGTGGTTCCTCCCACAGACACGAGCCACCAGCCCCGCTCGGTGCCCAGCCGGCCCTACTACAGCCTTCCCAACAGCAGCCATGAGAGACGCTCGGTGCTGGCCGTGGCGGAGCCGCCGCGCTTCCACGCGCAGGCCAAGGGCAAGAACGTGCGGCTGGACGCGCACTCGCGGCGGGCCACGCGCAGGAACAGCTTCTGCAACGGCGTCACCTTCACCAACCGGCCCATCCACCTGTACGAGAAGGTGCGCCTCAAGCTGGTGGCCGTGCACCACGGCTGGAGCGGGGCCCTGCGCTTCGGCTTCACCATCCACGACCCCTCGCAGATGAGCTCCGAGGAGATACCAAAGTACGCCTGCCCCGACCTCGTCACCCGGCCCGGGTACTGGGCCAAGGCTCTGCCCGAGAGGTTCGCGGTCAGGGACAATATTTTGGCCTTCTGGGTGGACAAGCACGGCAGAGTTTTCTACAGTATTAATGATGAGGAGCCAATCTTGTTTCACTGTGGTATTAAAGTTTCCGGGCCTCTTTGGGCCCTCATAGACGTCTATGGAATTACCCACGAAGTGCAAATTCTAGGTAAGTGTGTCTTTGGGCCTGTGGGCTGCTCTTGTGGTTGTTCTTTCTGATCCTCCAGGAAAAGATGGATGGTCTGTGTGTGGTTACTGTGCTGCAAGGAGAGAGAAAGGACAACACACACGGGGCTCTTTGGGGAAAAAAGGCCAATTTATTGTACAAACAGCCCGGATTTAAAGTGTGTTAGTGCAGCCAGGACAGGACAGGAGCTCATTGGACAATTGGGACAAACATCCTTGGGACAGCACCTCAGGATGTGTCCCACGGGAAAGACACCAGGGGTTAATGTTGGTGATGAATTCCACTCTGTTTGTCACCATGTTGTCACCCTGGGAGACTCCTCCCTAACTGAAGCTGCAGTCAGCTTGTCAGCCTGGGAATGGAGCTGAGAGTCAGGAGAAATCCAGGCCTGAAAAGAATTTCCAAGCTGTAATTCCCCAGCTCTCTAAATGTGTGTGTCCACAGTCTTGTGATTATTTCTATGGGACACTTAAGAAAATTAATTTGATGTTGGTTTTGTGCCTCCAGTTAATCATTTTTCTTCTGCCAGCAGTAGGGATGCAGAAAGCAATACATTCCAGAGGATGGCAGTGATGAAAAGTCCTAAGGCTGCATATTATGGGAAGGGATAAATGGAAATCTTTACTTGTAACTCCTGTGAGCTGGATGTGCTGCTTTGGCATGGAAAAACATGGAGCAAGGTCCCAGGGACCAGTTGTGACTCTCTCTCTTCTTTCCCAGCTACCAGTTACTGCCAGTCCATTGGAACACCACCAGTAATTGCCCAAAAGTTTCCTGGAGCCCTTCCCCAGCCCCTCTCTCTGCTCTCGGCCGTGGTCCCACCCAGGCTGGCAGTTTGAGGGGCTCTGTTGGCATTGTGACCCTTCCCTGGCACAGGGACATCACTCCCAGCCCTGGAATCCAGGCTGGTTTACAGCCCCATCCTCAGGGAGGGCTGCAAGAGGAGAAGAATCTGTTCCCATTAGCGAGCCCAGCTGATGGCCATGGAATGATTTTCCTTTCATGGCTTTTACAGCATTGAAATTTCTAATGAATTCAACGTTAGATGGAGCGTTTGAACTGGGCTACACCACAGGGAGCACTTTTAAAATCCAAGAGAGCTGCCCTTTCCTGGAGGCTCCTTGGAGCTGATGGAGTTTTAACAGGCACAGCCAGCTGTACCTGCCCGAGGGGATGGTGCTGCCAGGCTGGCACAGAGCTGGCACCAGGGATAAGCTGTGGAATGGCGAGTCCAGAGGGCAGCAGCTCCATCACATCCCGCTGAACAGAGCCAATTATTTTACAGGCGAGAATGCCACACATAAACAACGCTTTTCCCTGTCTGCTGTGCCTCAAATGTGTAATTAAACCTCAGCAGCAGCTTGTCCTGTAATTGCAGTTGCAATTCTCTCCAGCCTCTGGTGCTCGTCACAGAGGAGAAGGAATGTTTGCTGTATTGGCCAAGGCAGCTGCTTCACCAGAGCTCTCCTTTCTCCTCATTAAATTGGAGTTTGAAAAATAAAATGTAGCTTCTTTCTGCTCCCTGCTCCAGTCCTGCCTGCAGCATCCAAGACTGATTTTCCAGTGAAAACTCAGGCTGAGAGCACCTGTACTCTGATGGGAGGTTTTTTTATTGCAATACTGCCCCAGGAATCAGGGCCATGCTCAGCCATCTGGGGCACCAGGGGACCCAAACTCCTTGCCTGTCTCTGCCTCATCCTCCCAAAATGTTGTGAGTTGAGAAAATTGTGAAATACAGCTCCAGTTCTGAGGCACAAAATGTGTCTTTCAGCATCATGAATCACAGAATGGTTTGGGCTGGAAGGGATCTTAGAGATCATCTCATTCCGCCCCCTGCCATGGGCAGAGACACCTTCCACTATCCCAGGTTGTTCCAAGCCCTGTGCCTTGGACACTTCCCAGGGATGGGACATCCATCATGAACCTTGGATGTGTCTGACTCCTCTCTGGGAGCTTTCCTTGCCACACAAGCTGTGCTGGCTGAGAAGGAGCTGCTCCAGCCATCAGCCCACCCCAGTGGCCTCTCCTGCCTGGGATTCTGAGAGAGGCAGGTTCTGCTTTGCAGCTGCTGGGTGCATTTGGATGTTTTTTCCTTCTTTACCAAAAGCCTGGGGATTCTCTCCCCCAAGGAGCAGGCAGTGTTGGTGCTGGGCTGCTTCACCCCTCTCTATTTCTGGGAAGACCAGGAGTCATTCACACAACTCTTAAATCCCACGTGCTTTGACTTTGCTCAGTGCATTAAACCTTTCAGAGTGAAGTGTCCAGGCTGCCTCAGGCAGGGCTGGAGGTAGAAAGGAAAACACTCCCAAACTTTCCCACACCTTTACATCACCCCCAAGCCTGGCATGGCTCAAGTGGAAACCTGGGAAATTAATTAAGGGTCAACATCCTGACTTTCCCTTTGCTGTGAAAAGGGAGAACAACCTTCTGCTGTCAAAGCTTTCCAACACCTGCAGGAAGGAGCTTTTGTGACAAGTTCTCAATTCAAAACCCCTGAGATATGAGGCTTGAAGTGACCTCTCTTGGCCACACCTGTGCCTGGACACAGGTGTAAGGCAATGACAAGGAGTGTGGAAAGAACATCCATTCATCCTTGAGTTCCTCCACTTGTGGATTTGTGTTGCACAAGACCTTATTGAGACTTTTTTTTTTTTTAAATAGTGTAACCTCAGAGCTATCAGATGATTCTCCTCAGAAAGCTGTAGGACAGGACCATACTGGTTTGCAGCTTTTCCCAGTTCCCCAGTGCAGGGAAGTCCCAGATCACAGGAGTATTTTGGAACACTTGTTTTTCCCTGGCTGGTGCCAAGATGCAGGAGCTCTGTGCCTGCTCCGCACGTGACTCTGCACCAGGAGCTGTTCATTAGTGGCTGACCCGTGGCTGATTTTTCCTTTTGGAGCCTGTAGGCTGCAATAATCACTGTAAGCACAAAAGCAGGCAGTTTTCTCTTGACTAACCGCCAGGTTTCTCTCACAGACAGCATGTTTGCAGAGACCATGACCACTGCCCGGCTCAGCACCGCCCGGCTCAGCACCTGCCTTCCCCAGAGCAACCACGACTCGGCCAACTTCAACAACAACGAGCTCGAGAACAACCAAGTGGTGGCCAAAATTGCAAACCTAAACCTGAGCCGGGTGCCAGGACTTGGGACTGACAACCACATCATCCCCTGCTGCCCCAACCGGCGGCAGCACGGCCAGGGGGTGCCGGCATTCCTGGACACCGACCTGCGCTTCCACCCCACGCGCGGCCCCGACGTCACCTTCTCCCAGGACAGGATGGTGGCCTGCACCAACTGGCAGGAGAGCAATAGGACTTTGGTGTTCTCTGACCGGCCTTTGCACATCGGGGAGAGCCTCTTTGTGGAAGTGGGACACCTGGGGCTGCCCTACTACGGGGCGCTGTCGTTCGGCATCACCTCTTGTGATCCGAGCACATTGCGGACAAACGAGCTCCCGGCGGATCCGGATTTTCTCCTGGACCGTAAGGAGTACTGGGTGGTTTATCGGGCGTTCCCTGTCCTCAATAATGGTGACATCCTCAGCTTCATGGTCCTGCCCAATGGAGAGGTGCACCACGGGGTCAACGGTGCCAGCCGGGGCATGCTCATGTGTGTGGACACCTCCCAGTCCCTCTGGGTGTTTTTTACAATCCACGGAGTGATCAACCAGCTCAAAATCCTGGGTAAGTGCAGCCAAGAGAGCACCTGGCTTGGGGAAGTTGCCTGGGTCAGAATCAGAGCTCTGGGTTTGCACTCAGTGCTCACTGGTGTGAGGATGCAGCTCCTTGCGTTTGCAAACAAGAGTGACAAAACGTGGAGCCTTGTCACAGAGATGTGTGCAGCCTCTGTGATTCCCCCAGGAAAGGATGAGACTTGAGAGATAAAACCAGCAGGCAGGGATGGCTGGGGGGGGCAGCTGTTTTTCAGTGGGTTTGATTTTAGAAGAGATTTTTTATAAACAGGGATGGTTGTGGGGGGCAGCTCTTTTTCAGTGGGTTTGATTTTCTAAGGGATTCTTTATAAACAGGGATGATTATGGGGGGCA